AAAAACATCATGTCAAAAATTTTTGATTGCCAATACTTAATCGAATTTCATTTTTATGTGTTTATTCGAGTTCTACAGAACCCAGACACACGAGACTTTGCATAAATATTTACAAGAACCTAAACCGCAAATGATATAAATTTCATATATGTTTATTATGTATATTTTTGCGCAATTAACAAAAGCAAGTGTTCCAAAACTTTTGTCCAGGTACTGTAGGTAGTCTTATGATTGTACTGTTCATGTCTTGAAATGTCAAAAGTAATATTATGTAAATTATTATGATGAATCATATGGTTATGGCATCCATAATGTGCATTATGCTTTTTTATTCCTGCCTGTTCATTACCTTCTGGTAAATAACTCCCAATCCACCTGTAACCCATACATGTTGATTATTAATTTTCAGTTTATATCCATAAATGATGCTCAGACTCAAATTGAACAGGATTTCCTTGCAACAGAATATGGTATCCAAGAGAAGCCTCCTATTTCCTTAGTAAATTGGTATAAAATTGGTTTAAAATCAATATTATATTACTATACATTATGTTTTGGGTAATTAAAAAGTGCACGGTTACACTCAATGCGCAAAAACTAATTGTCTTTTTTGAAATTTTAAAAAAGTCTACGATATAAAATGGATAAATTTGATAGTGTTAACAGGGTAAATTTATTATATTAAACCCTTGAGTAAGCTTAATATAAAAAATTATTGGGACCTCAATTAAAAGTTTTCGGAGTCCTGCTTCGCATAATAATATTTTATTTACATTTAGTAATCTAATTCTTAAACAAGCTTATGGTTTATGGGAGCGTTACGTCAATTTTGAAAAAAAAAAAATTTTTTTTGATAAGAGACCATTTTGGCACAAAAAAATTATCGGGAAAGACATTAAGATATTTTCTTTAATCTCTTGGATCATATTGTCTGGATTGTTTCAAAGATCGTCTACCTCCTATCTGCAAACATTCTCGTCACTTAAACTCTTGATAAGCACAATACAAGACACTTTTTTATTAAAAAAAATTTTTTCAAACAAAATAATTAATGACGAGGGTTTCTTAAATTCACTTTTTTCCAAGCAAAATAATTAATGATTTTTTCAATTCGTTTTTAAACAAAATAATTATTAAACAACAATGTGTAATTTCATTACTACGTTGTTTAATGTCAATAGAAAAAAAATATTTTCTATATGTTGCCACTGAAAAAAATAGGAACTAATCTAACCGATCCACCTTCTCGTTAAAAAAACAAAAAAAAAACAAACCTCTTTTTAAAAATGCAAAAATTATTGTTGAAGGCGCATCGCCATCACTATTTCAAAATTTTAAGTCGTTACTTAATTTTATCCCATCCTTTTTAAAAAAAATTCATTATATGTAACTTTTTTTCAAAAGCGAAAAATTTTGAAAGCCTAGTTAGTATAGTATAAATACTAACAACCATTTTAATTTAGTGAAATATAAGATTTTACAAATTACTATACAAACAATAATCATTTAAACAAAAAGGCAAAAGAAGAGGATCTCGTAATGATAATAACACAAGACTAATATATTTACTTATTAATACTTATTGTTAATATTAGAAAAGGCTATAAATTTCCCAATGATTTTTCCTTCTAATAAATAAAAAGCAACTTTGTTAATTTAGTCAATTCATTAAAACCAACGTTTAGATTATATGGTTATATCGTTTAATATTAATATTAAAAAAAGTTGTTACGCACACATTTATAATTAAACTGATATTTGTCAATTTTCTGGCTGGTAATGAAGTTGTTCTGGTCCCATTTTAAAAGCTAAAGTCATAAGATTATGTCACAACATCTGGCTTCCTATATACACACCCTTACAAAAAGCATCGACTCACTTGATGATCCGCCAAAATAATCGAATAAACGGGTAATACAAATACTCGTTTTTTTACTAAGCAAATCGATGTTGTGTATTAGTGAGAAAATGGTTATTGAAATGACAAAAGTAATATTATGTAAATTATTATGATGAATCATATGGTTATGGCATCCATAATGTGCATTATGCTTTTTTATTCCTGCCTGTTCATTACCTTCTGGTAAATAACTCCCAATCCACCTGTAACCCATACATGTTGATTATTAATTTTCAGTTTATATCCATGTTCAAGTTCTTTGAATATCATTGATAAGGGTTGAAGTACTTCATTGCTTGTGGCTGTGAAAGGAATAAACCAAGAAGAAAATGGTTTTGAGCTTTTGACAAAGAACTTGTTTCATATTGCCAATCTGTAATAAATGTCTGATAGGCATTACGAAATGGACCAAACTTTTCAATATAAATGTCTAGAAAAAATTTAGGTACTGGCAGACCATGTGGAGGATCTTGAATGATGACATATATACTAAATAGGATGATGATGTTGTGAATCAATTGGTCTTGTAGTCCATTGCCTATTTATGTTATATACAATTTCATCAATAGAATATTGATAGTTTGTGGGTTTGCTAATATCCATTAACCATATATATACTTTGGACTTAATACTTATAGGGTTAATAATTAATGTTTTATCTGTCATTCACAAATGTCCATCACAAGAAGCAACTTTTCTCTGATTGGTTTTTAGCACTGAAGGTAATGAATTAAATTCAATAATATGCTCAATTTTAATATAAATATCTTGGGAATCATCAATGTGTGGCATCAATATAATTCTACCATAGTATGTTTTGTTGCTTGCATCTGTATCATAATACATGATGAAATTGCCATGACTGTAAACCACTATATTCATATTAATAATAATAAATTAGTATATATAAAATAAAAAAAAAAGAATTAATTGGTAAATTTTATTTTGACTAAATATATTTACCATTATATTTTTCCCACCAAATAATGGTGATTTTTGCCAAAGATCTCCATGCCATTATTCACGTTTGTTTTCACAGTATATACCTGGGCCAAAATGTATGTTCTTATGCAACTGTGGATTTGATGAAGGTTGTTTTTTAGAGGAAAAAATTAGAGCTTGGCCAATGGATTTGAAAGTGGATGGCATGTAACAGTGTGACCTTTAAATGGAAGGAATGGTAGACCATTACAATACTTTTTAATGGTTATAAGTGAGAATGGAACATCACATGAATTGAACTTATGATGTTTGACAATATTTGCAAAATCTTTATATGCCTCTAAGCCTGATTTTAAAAATAAATCATGCCAAGCGGTGTAAAATTAGTCATATACCTATTTGATGCTTTGTAAACCATAAAAATAACAAAAACATAGTAAATACTCCAGAGTACAGTGTGTGTCACAGTAATACATCCACTTTTATATAGAGGGGTCAAATTTCATATCTGAAGATCACGTGTGGCAAAAATAAAAAAATTTTTAAAATTCTATTTCTGTCAAGATTGAATCTGGTGTTTTTCTGTGAGACTTATATCTTTTCACAGCATACTCAGCCTGTTTCATATCCAACCCTTTTCTATAACAATCCATATAACAAGCTGATTTCCTTTCAAATTTGCAAATTGAATATAAGGAAACAGAGTCCAAAGCCAAAGGAACAGTTTTCAACAAACCTGCCCAGGTATAGTTACAATTTTCTCTTGCAAACCTCTTGGCTGCACCCCAATACATCTCTATGTAATTTAATTCACAGTGATATTTTGGATAAAATATCACCTTGTGACCATGAGCTTCAATGATTTCTTGAATCAAAGGTACTTGAGCCATAAAATCTGGTTGTGCTCCTAATCTATATCTTGCACAACAATTTGGATAGCAGCTGAATGACAATCACGCATTGATAAACATAATAATTAAAAAAAAAAATTTTTTTATTTTTATTTTTTTTAAAAAAACAACCTTAATTTTATATATGCTTAATTTGTATTTATTTTTATGTTTAACTCTCTATCTTATGTTTTATGCTTATTTTTTGCCCTTAACTGGTTACTTACTACCTTATATAATAGTAACTCATTTAATCCCACAAACTAATATCAAATCCCTCCTCCTCATAATAATCACTATTATTTTGATTTGGAGTTTGAATTTGAATTTGAATTTGAATTTGATCTTGATCTTGATTTTGAATCTGAATTTGATTTTGATCTTGATTTTGAATCTGATTTTGATTTTGATTTTGATTTTGATTTTGATTTTGAATCTGATTTTGATTTTGATCTTGATTTTGATTTTGATTTTGATTTGGATTTGGATTTGGATTTTGAATTTGAATTTGCATTTGAATTTGAATTTGAATCTGATTTTGATTTGGATTTGGATTTGGATTTCGATTTTGATTTTGATTTTGATTTTGAATTTGAATTCGATTTGGATTTGGATTTGGATTTGGATTTGGATTTGGATTTGGATTTGGATTTGGATTTGGATTTGGATTTGGATTTTGATTTTGATTTTGATTTTGATTTTGATTTTGATTTTGATTTCGATTTCGGTTTCGGTTTCGATTCCGATTTTGAGCAGCTGCATCAGCTGCCGCGCTGTTACGTCGATTACGATCAATTTGATTCGCACGATTATCTTCTCTGATTAGTGCATTAAAGTACCTACAATACA